CCTAGGGGCATTAGGCATGTTCAAAAGGAAAAGCACCCTGTACCCTCCTGTCCCCCGACAGCCTGATGCACTGGAAGCTGACACACTTCAGAGTGTAACATGGTTCTACAAAAAGCACAGAAGTAAGTATGCTCTTCTGAGCAGTAGGAGGATATAGCTCACCATGAACATGTATCTAAGGGAAAAAAAAATTATAACCCTTTGAGCTACACACATTTCCATAATGGCACTATTAAATAATTTAACTTTTTTTTCAGGATACAGTAGTCACCTGAGTATGAAGATTCATGAAAGTAGTACATTTTCTTGACATTCATGCTGTATGTTGAAATGAATTACCTGAAATCCACTCCAACTTATATGTTCTGTACTTATAGTCCTCGTTCAAGTAATTTTGTAGAGTGTATGTTTTTCGTGAATCGGGCTCAGGGGTACTTTCTGAAAGAAAGAGACAGAATAGAGATTTTGATGTTGCTGCAAATTGTTCCACCCCAGCTTAACCTGACTACTAAAATAAGTGGGGTTTTGTTGCTGGTTATTGATACATTTTAGCTAACCAGCTCTAAAGTACTAGCACTGAGAAGGCACTAAAGCTTTACTGCAAGATAAATTCAGCAAGCATAAAATAAAGGAGTACCAGTGAGATCACTCAACAAACTCATGTAAAAATTATAGATGCCTTTTCTCTGTTGGTATTTTCCTTTAAGGTACACAAGAGCTGTTATCTTTTGAGTAAATGAAAATACCCTTCTGACAGTGACAAAAATAAACAGAAGACCTCTGGCCCTCTTATCTCAGGGAACGCATACTTTTACTCCTCAAAACTGAAAAGAAGTGATCTTAGTGCCTTTCCCTGCTATGCTCCCTCCGGGAACTTCACTGCAGACCCCTGACTGCTAATATTTGCATCAGACATCAATTGTGGGGTGATTACGCAAAACAGAGACGTACACGCTCATGTTTGAGTGTGGTGGACGGGCAATGTTGTCCAGATGAATGAAACATGGCATCCATGTGAGCAGATGTACAGGCCTTGAAAGCTACCCTCTAAATTAAAGCGGCTGCTCTACTTTGTTGCATATTCCATAATACTGCTGTTCCTGTTCATGCACCCTTCAATTATGAATCATCTGCTTATCATTAAACTCGAATTTCAGAAATGTCTCAAATAAAAAAAATCTGAGGATCAGTAAAATTTTCAGGGAAGATCTAATAAAAAAAAATAAATCACAAATGCTTACTGATAAGCCTATGATGAAATAACTGGTTAAATATTTATCCCTCTCTTGATGTGTTTTTCCCCAAGGTATCTTAATGTTTGCTGCAACATTACTATTTTGACTGCAAAATTAAAGCCAAGTAACTGGGTTACTATGCAAAGCCTAAGTGATACTTTGAACCCAGTTAAGCTAATGAGTTTGGTCATCAGCTCCACTGCACTACAGTCAACTTCTATGAAAAATAACTTCTTTCGTACTGGCTGCAGTGTACAGCTACTCTTTCCAAAGTCTGAAAGGTTCGAATACTACAAATAGAAGAAAAAAAAAATGGTTTGTGAGTCTTTGTGATCCCTTTCTTCTGAAAACAAAGATTACGATTTTTAAATTCCTGTGTGCAATTCTCTATGCTTTTTTTTTTTTTTTTTAAATGGAAACTTAAAAACTATCCTCATACAAATCTACACAGTGCAGAAGGGAAGCAACTTCTATTTCAGCTGCCTAAATCGTTCTTTTTTTGTACACATCAAAAGGCCTAGGATAAAAAAAATTGATAAAAACACTCAAATACAGACACGGGGACTGATCAGCCAAGATAATAACCTGCCCCAATCAATTCTGAGAGTCCTGGTCTTTCAGATACTTTTAAACAGGCAGCCTCTTCTTTCATTATGCTGAAGAAAAAAAGAGTGCAAGGTCCTTGGGGCCACACACGCAGAAAAGCACCTCTCAGTAATTTTTGCAGGTTACCTTTCTGCAGGTTAAATACACGTGACATCTGGAGCACAACAGGAAGATATTTATATTAGCTGTTACAGTTTTACTCTTATTTCCAAACAATAAGCACTTTGCATATATACAGCACAGACTGTACAGCCATTGTGGCAACAAAAGAGCCATAACAAATAACAATTTCGGTCTAAGGTGCTCAGCAAAGGTTAAAAAAACTGCTTGCTCAATTCCATCTGAAATTTGACTGTTCTAAAAAATTACTAGTCTAGATTTCTTGCTCATGATGTTTCCGTGAGAATATTCATTTCTCAGGTTAATTATTCTGTATTAGCTGAATATTTAATTTGATGGATTATGAACAAGTGTGCATTTGATATTCATGCACAGTTGTCTACTTGGGAATATCACTTCTCTCCTTCCTAATTGAGTAAGTGTCATTTTCAATTAGAGGGGCTTCAGAAAGCAACAAAATTCTCTCTTGGAAAAGGAGGAGCAATTTAAGACAGGTGGCTGATGAACAGGTTTAGGGATTTTTCCAAACTGATGAATGTTTTTCCCCCTGGTGACATCCATATTTTGCTGAGGTCTCATTACTAAAAATCAGGCCACTATTAAGATTTGTTGGCTGTGTATAAAATTAAAATTTCATTTTCTGTCAACACCTTCCACATAGTAACTGAATATGAAAACATACGCCAAGCTGTAAGTGTATAGTCACAAAAGTTCTAGCTGAAGTATTTTCTTAATTTGCGAGATAGGCCACTGCCAGTATATTCTTGCTTATCCATATTATGCCACCGACCAAAGATACTCAACATACATTGAATTCTGCATTTTGGTTCTTCTTGTTCAGACTCCATTTGGAAAAAAGTGTCAAACAGGTTTATTTTGACAAAATAAAGTAGTTGTTGACGTTCAAGAGCATTTTATTGGCTTTGAAGATTGGATACAGGTCAATGTATGTTCATATTTTAGCAAAACAGCTTCTTTCACTCTTAGGTTCCTCAGAGAGGCTGTGAAGGCTGAATTTTCTTGCTATTTTTCTTTTTTGACTATTCCAGATACAGACTTAAATTTTCTAAATTCCAAATGACTAGCTCTTCATCTCTACTCTACTCTCACCCCCAGCAGCACATTTGTATTTCCACTGTCATAATGATATACTGGAAATATTTACATCACAATACCCCTGTTACAACAGCAAAACCTTAAGTCAGTCCTTCTGGGAAGAAGGCTTTTAACCTTTTATGTAAGTAGTACTCATATGAAGTCGATAAACAGTTTTGTTTCAATTTTGGATTTTTTTTTTTTTTTTTTTTTTTAATATGTCACCCTTTGTCAAGGGAAAAATTGAGTCGGTTTCTGTAGGTGTAAGGTGTAAAGTAAACAAGAAGTTAACTATTGTGTACAGTTTATGGTATGACACATCACCATACCAAAATGTAAAGCTGTTGACAAATTACTTTTGCTATATGTATTGTTCATTCCCCAGTGTCAAGGCTCATTTTACTCATTTCCATATGTAAGAAAAAAGAGCAAGAAATTATGTAACCAACTTAAAAGAGATGGAAAACTATATAATCAGTAATAATGGAAACTTTACTGCACATTCACCACTACACCAGGAGAGACTGGAAGAACCACAACAAGGGAAAGATAAGTACAAGCATGATGCTCAGCAATAATAAGAAAGAAAGGGATAGAGAAATGATAGAAATCAGAAAAGGTGAATGAGTATTGCCATTTTTAAGTGACAGCAGGACAAGAGCGAGAATGATTCGTAATCTAAGAATGTAATATAGGAGCAGCGTGAGAGATGCAAGAAGGGAAACCTGACTGATTCAGTAGTTAGTCAGAAAAGTAAATGACATTTCAGGCTATTTTTTCCAAACCTTCCTTCCTCCCTGTTTCTCTTCCAATGTGTGTAAAAAAGCACTCAAAAACCTTCCCCCCTACACTGAAGCCCCCAGTTACTGCCTGAGATATGTGACAGTTACAGCACCAAAATGGATTTCCAGCAAAGAAGAAAGAAAAAATGACTCTGTTGTGTCAGGCTTCATTAAACCCAGAATCCCCTCCAATTCCCAGTGGCCAATACTGGCCATCCAGGAGAGACCATAACCAACAGGCAAGTGCCATGACACCTCCCAGGGCAGCTCACCCAGGCGTCACTCTCTGGGGCTGCAGAGACTTCCCCAGAGGCAGGTAATCATTAACTTTGTAATCAATAACTCCAGAGTTCCTCTGAGATTTGCCCCATCTCATGAAAAGCAAGGACATAAAAATAGCAGAAGTGTTCTGCAGATAGCAATCCACTGCTGGTAAAACTGTTCCTTTTATATTACTCAACATTTGAATTAAGGTAGATAACAGAGTTAAATGACAGTTACAGAAGTCAAGGACGTATAGCTGGAAAACACTTCCATTCTCTATCTTTTCCTTCACTAGCTAGAAAAGTAATATATCCACATGTAACATGAAGACTACAAGGATCCTGTAATGCAAAGCATGGTGCATGAGTACATGATGAAAAGAGAACAGTTAGGATGGTCGGATTCAAGCCAAAAGGCTCTTTGGTCAGACAAGTCTGCAGCATACTCACACCACACTAATTAACCCGCTGTATCTGCCATACAACTTTGGAGAGAATTTCAGCCGTGATTTTGATTGAAGTCCTTTGAATTTAGGTTACTAGAATTAACCACTGCTCACTGTTTAATGGTTGTCTAAAAAAACCACACAGAATTAAGATTCTTATCTAAACCTTAATTGTTGAATCTAGATTCAAAGAGGTTCTATTTCTGGTCCATAGATTTCAATTCCCTTACAGATTTTCTAGCTTTCTCCCTAAACATCCTTAAACCTAATGCCTTTCAGAAACTGGAATAATATAGGGCCCCTTATTCCCAAGAAAACCATGACAGAGCAGAGCTGACAGATTCGTTCATCTTGTGACACAGGTCTTCAAATACGAGGGTTGTGTATCAGCCAGATGCCTCTCTGTATTTCAAACATACTGTTGAGCTGCAAGCAGGGTGTTGACACTGGCAATAGATACTCCTCCACACCACCCACTCACAAATTTGCTCAGTTCAGGACAGAATGCAAATGGGAGAAACAGGGGAACATTGCAGATGTGACCATCCCCAAGAGAACAATGATGAGAGCTATTTGGAGACTCTTATTACCTTTCTTTTCAGTTACACATTAACACATCTGCCTGAAAGATCTGCAACCTCACCCCTTTTAAGTCCTTGAAGCACAAAGCTGTCTCAGCAGTCCAGACATTGTTCAACTTCAAATCCAGGATGACAATGTGGACTTACTGAACTTCCGCTGCCAGTAACCCTTACCTCCATTTATGGTAGCTTTCTACCAGCCTCTAGAAATACCCAACTCATCAGTTAGGCATCAGACTCACAGAGCACCCTCAGGCACCTTAAAGTCATTAACTTTCCCAGCACGCGCTATGCTTTTCCAACCTCTTCTAAAGCACAGTTCTATCATAAGACCACGGAAGCTCACGCATAGTATCATCTAAGCATGGCAGTGATAAGCCTTCTCACTTAGTGAATACCTCATCCCTGGAGAATTAGACCTCTGGGTGAAGGAACCTGGTTTGTGACCAGACAGTTGCATAAGACCCCCCAGTACAAGGCATCAGAATCATAGAATCATTTAGGTTGGAAAAGACCTTTAAGATCATCAAGTCCAACGGTAAACCTAACACTGCCAAGCCCACCACTAAACCACGTCCCTAAGTGCCACATCTATACCCATCTTTTAAACACCTCCAGGGGTGGAGACTCAACCCCTTCCTTGGGCAGCCTGTGCCAAAGCTTGACAACCCTTTCAGTGAGGAATTTTTTCCTAATGTCCAGTCTAAACTCCCCTCGCACTACTTGAGGCTGTTTCCTTTTGTCCCATCGCCTGTTGCTTGGGAAAAGAGACCGACACCGACCTTGCTAAAACTACCTTTCAGGCAGTTGTAGAGAGTGATAAGGTCTCCC